AAGTTGATGGCGGGAAAAAGGGGTGAAGTGGGTGAGGACAATTTTATCCTTGTTTATGGAAAGAAAAATGTATTTTTGTATTTAATTAACGGAAAAACTGACAAAATATGGACGGAAGGACGTCCAGCGTAAAGAAAGGTTGAAATGAGGGCAAAAATGTCAAAAAATGAAAGGTAGGGACGTTTTCCACAATAGACTTGAAAGGTAGGGACGTTTTGTGTCAATTACCCGAATGTTTAACGGAAAAACTAACGGAATATGGACGAAAGGACGTCCAGCGCAAAGAAAGGTTGAAATGAGGGTAAAAATGCCAAAAAATGAAAGGTAAAGACGTTTTTCACAATAGACTTGAAATGTAAGGACGTTTTGTGCCAATTACCCAATAAAAAATGGTTATGCTATAAAGAAAGTTTGTCTGAACTATAACTTTACGAATCCAATCATTTCCTTATATAATTCACTTGTGCACAAGAGTTATGCGAATATTCGAGTAATTATTTACTTTGTTGCAGACAAAACCTGGTCTGAGTTCATATGCTGCCGACCCTCCGGCAGCTGCCAACTCTCTAAAACCGCTCCTCGAGGAAGCCGAGGATGTTGTTCCAACAGAGTTGCGTCCCGACACACCGGTTCGACTTGGGGTAGATAATTAATATATAACACAAGCTCTTTAACTCCATTATATATATATATATATATAAACACTGAAGACAATCTTGAGTTGAATATTTTATACAGGCAACTGCAGGTCTGAGGTTATTACAAGGAGATGCGGCTGAAAGAATTTTGGAAGCGGTAAACTGAGCCGGCCTGTTGGATTCTTGCTTATAATCATTGTTCTGATTTTCTTCTAACGATTAAAGTTTCGATATTTTTCTTCTAAAAGGTGAGAAATTTGTTGAAGAATGAAAGCACCCTAAAATACAGGGATGACTGGGTCTCCATTCTTGATGGAAACCAGGAAGGAACTTATCTGTGGGTAAGTTTATATCATCCACGAGCATTTGTCTTCAAGTACATGGACCAGTACTGATGCTTCTAAAGATGATAATTTATTTAGGACTAGCCTTAATTTGACTTCGTAAAAACCACAAATATTATTCACTTATTTTTACCAAATTATAATTTTAGCAACTAAAAAGAAAATCAAAATAAAGGTTAAATATGAGGCCATACTTATCAGCTATGATGCACTGAAAACTCTAGTGTTTTTATTTCGGGTCCATTTTGAGAATCAAACTTTTTTAAAACTCTCAAAAACATTTTTGTATCTCAAAAATAAGTTTTCTATTTATTATTATTATTATTATTATTATTATTATTATTTTTTTTTTTTTTTTTTTTTTTTTTTTTTTTTTA